CCATTGGAGTCAGGGAGTCTCGAAAGTGCTCCTGACTGAGGTGGCTGACACTTACAAAAGAAATGTATAGGATCAGACCAAATATGGAGCTAGATTCATAATTTGATTAGAAGAAGATTGAATTTTGTGTATGATGACCCAGAAGAAATAATAGGAATAAGTATCAATGAAAGAGAAAGCAGCATTATGGCTAGTCGGCGAAGCAATCGCCTTTAATTTGAGAAATTTTGGAAAATATAGAATATATAAGTTTCAAAATCATATTCGCCAACAACGGTGGAACAATAATGATGCAATGAAGAAACATTTTAAAAATTGTTTGTATATATTCTAAGGAATTAAAAAAAAAACACAGCAACGACTACGATGTAATCTGCTCGACATTTCGGCCATGGGTGTGGCCTTTTTCAAGAGAAAATATTGTTTGTCGTTATTGTGAATAGTTTAGTCACAGACAAACAGACATAACAGTTACAAGAAAATTCTTCAAAAAATATCGTAAAGAGTATTTTGCAAGCGCACTAGCACCATCTATCACCCACATTCCCAAGCATTGTTTTGCAACCGGAGCATCCCTCGTTCATGCATTTTTTTCACTAGTCCCTTCCCTAATAAAAATTGTATGGTTAATTTGCTTAACGACGTGTTCTGGATATCATCCAAACCATTTGTGGAATAGTTCAATGATTTGGGTTATCGTTCGTTTATGGTTATTTTTTATTAGGGTTGTTCTGTCAACGCGTCAGCTGTGTTGAATAATTATAGAATTGATTGAATTCTGCTGAAATACGGATTCGTAGGAAAAATTCACAGAAGCTAAGACTTTTTTTTAAGGATTTGTTTTGTTTGTTTATTGTGCTTTTTCTTTTGCTGGAAACAAGTTTTTAAACAAGGTAATGCATCACTTTTTTGTATGAATATTGAACCGTAGTAAAGTTTGCTGTGTAGTGATGGCAGATTTTCATGCGAATAATCGATTAATCGATTAACGAACCGGAAAGTAAAATATTTGTAATCGGTTATATCATGCCGATATAAGCATTAACATCTCCAGAGGATCATCACCGATCGTTTCAAACATGTGCTGCACTCTCATTGGTAAAAAAATGGCAGCGCAGCGACCAAAAAATAATCGATTAGTTGTTAATCGAGTAATTAAAAAATGGGTCATCTCTAGTAAGCTGAAGGATGTCTCGCTGGATACGCCCAAGACTGGACGGGCGGTAGCTGGTGGCCGTGAACGGTTCGTGGGGAAAGCACTAGATGCGAACCTCCTCCCAGATCACCATGGCAATACAGGAAGTATCACAACAAAGGTAATTGCTATTAGATATTGCTATAAGAACCAGTGGAGATGCCGGGCAAAGGTGTTTATCCTAGACAAATGGTAAGTTACAAATTCTCTGTTGTCGTTGTCGTAGGCGCCATCGTAGTCGCTGTCGTAATCGCCGTCGTAGTCGTAGGCAGTACCGTTGGTATATTTAAAATTAAACATCAACCGCTGAAAATATGAATTATCGCGTATTTCTGTTGTTCATTACATTCCAAGTGAAATTCGAGAACGTAATTTCATTTGAATAGCTTGTTTAACCAGGTCTTAAAAAATCGTAACGTCGGTCATAGCTTGTTATGATTGTCTGAACCATGCGTAAAGAAAAAATCGAAACATTGAACGTCGCGTGAAAGTGGATCTTAATGAAGGCCTAAAGTACTCTTTCGTAGCTTTTAGTTTTAGGATTTCAAAGATCGTCGGTTGCAGTGGCTTGCTTACTGAGGAGAAAGACGCGGTCCCAGATTCTTTCATATTAAAAATATTAAAATATCACTTGTTTATCGTGTATTTTGTAAAACTTTTCGTTGTCGTCGGTGCCGGGTTTGAATAGTTATAAAAACTTGAGTAACGCTATAATGTGATATGAGAGGCTCGGTGGCCTTAGAGAAACCGTTTTTGCTTACTGAGCAGAACATCATGAGTCTAGTCTCAGGCCCATCCACATTCAAGATTCGTCAATGATTAAAAAGGAGCTCGTCTGCCTAGTGGCAGACGTTTTGCTTACTGAGCAGAGGACCGTGGGTTTAATCCCAAGCTCCTTCGCGTTATACGATCGTTAGGACATCAATTCAGCTTATCGTTTACCAAAACGAACCCTGCTGCTAACCCAACCCTCTTACCCAACATCCCTGTGATTCCTCGTAGAAGTGCAGAGGACTCCTCGGCTTCCATCAAAGCGAGTGTCACGTCAACACATTCCTACCCATTCCTTTCTTGACCTGCGTTCAGGCGCGGCTGGCGCTGGTATTGCCTAGTTCGAGATCACCAGTTTTTACACATTGAGGATGATTGCTAGTCCCAAGCATCGTCTATTGGTTCTCTGTGTAATTACAGCTGGTCTGGCAATAACAGAGTAGCAACCGTGGGCGGTCAATCATGCTCATGCTCATGCTCAATATTGAACCGTAGTAAAGTAACAGATTTGTGTAAACATTACCGAACAGGATTGTAAATTTCATATTGTGAATCTCAGTGCTCATCTCAGTACTTGCCGCCATTTCGAAGTTGAGTTCTCTTCGGTTCTCCGGTGTGAAAAGTAGGTGATTTACTATTTTTGGCTATTTACAACCGGTTACTACTACCTAAAGCTACTACAAATTTAAACAGCACTTTTCAGTGCTCAACCTGTCAAATTTCTACCTTGTTCAACTCTTATTCCTCTTCGATCCTTGTGTCGACCCTATCCGAGGTAATCCTTCTTGGGTATCGATTTGGAAAATTCCTCTTCGATCCTTCAGATTCTTATAGTAATCTGCTTGGAAGTCGATTTGTATAAAAATTTACTGCCGCCATGGCGCCTAAACGCAAAAGAAAGGGGCAAACTCTTGATCCCCCTTCTGATGAAATTAATTTGAGTAATCAATTTGATTTGCTCACGGATGATGAGAATGATCCATCATCCAAGAAAAATTCTAGTAAACTTTCCCGGCTTAATGCCAAGAAGGAAAAGATTTCTCCTTTTGTGATAACCACCTCCGATTTCCATGCTCTTCGCATGGAACTTTTGAACTTCGTGAAAGTTAAGTTTTCACTACAAATTGGACTACAAAGTGAGCATGCATAAGGGCGTATACGCGATGATCGATTCTCTTCGTCGATTTTCTCTTTGCATTGCTACAGCTAAGCGAAACAATTTAAATCTGTAAAATCTGAGCCAATCGAACATTCCCATTAGAATTTTTCCGAGGATTTCTCATTCTTACTAGATTAATTTAGAGAGTATTGCAATCGAACAGAAATTCAATCACCTTTTTGTTTCGCGTGCTTCTCAAATTCAACCAGTATTTTGAATAAAAAAAAAAAAAAAAATTCTAACTCTATTGATTAATTGATCTTAGTTGGTTAACTAATAGCACCAAGAAATGTGCAAAATATTGCCATGCACTCAATTATTATTTTGCAAGTAAATCGAATCAAAAGAAAAAGTCATGTGAAATGCTAGCTTCTAGCAAGGGTTGCAAGATTATTAAGGTACTTCTTCTTCTTTTTTCTTTTATTTAACGTTGTTCTATGTTCCGCAATCTAGGGCCAATCACCGAAGGACATCGATTGCCATCCATTGACGGTAATCGAATGTGCAGGAAGGCAGCTTCCACACCTGCGTAGGATATCGCACCCATTCAACACACATGGGCCGGGACCAACGGCTTTACTCCCTTCCGAAGGAAGACGTTACCAGAGATTTTTATGCCTCAGAAAAATCCCACCGACCTCGGCTGGGATTGAACCCAGACCCAACGGGGTGTTAGAAAGCAGTCACGCTTACCACTACACCACCGGCGCCAGCTATTATTTAGGTACAAATCCCTGGTGCCGAATTGTATTTTGTTTTCTCCGCCCATCTCTCCCTCTGAGTATTTCTAGACGGCACCGCCGAAAAATCGTCTCTTCTAGCAAAGATTGACAGTTACTTATACACGGAACCAAGGTGACTACATATAGGTGTTCTAATGTGTCAAATTCATGATTCAGCCATGTTGGATTTTTGTTTACAATTTGCTCTAAAACCGCACCCCCCCCCCCCCCCCCGCGACCTCCTCGCCTATATAGTGACAAAGCTGTATCACCATTTATATCTATGTCAATCATACAAGGTCTGGAACAACAGGCAGCTTGCTGGTGTTAGAAGCAAAAATGTTGTAAACATTGCTGAACAAGCGAATGACGATGTCACGGCAGCACAACATTCCATACTGCGAATGGCAGACGTGTCGTCACAGAAAACAGCTGTTACGTGTAAAAAGATAAGCATTGCGATGAATCACGAACACCACTAAACATTCCCACATTTCACTAATACCAATAAGCCGGTTGGGCCAGACCTTATAATAATTGACATCGCATTTATATACCCACCATGCACGGAACCGAAAAATTACCCAAAATTAAGTTCTTTTCACTCATCTCCCATGTTCCGCACGCTAACTTCAATTTACTCACCGGGTAAGTCGATCGTACTCAATTTCGTCCGATGTATCGAGTTGTCAAAAACTGAGTAAACAAGAAATGTCAAACTAAGTAAAACCCACTCAGTCAGCAAAATTCTGGACTTAGAAAAAAGGTCAACCATGTTGGAGGAAACATCCTAGAAAACGGGTGAATGTTTCACTCAAAACGGGCGGAAATTCCTTCAGGTAAGTAGAAATTGCGTAGGGCAATGGTGTTGAACCATTTTCTGCTCCGGTAGAATGAATCCGGAGCAGACAATTTTCATTTCCTTAAATAAAATCAAAACAAAAACCCCCCTGCAACTGAAAATATCGCTGAGTGGATTTGAATCAATCCACGTGGGAACGTCGTTTACTCAAAAGTGAGTCAACATAAGGCTACTCAATTTTGAGTAGCCCTACTTGCCGCTGAGATGAGTACATTCAATTCAATTTTGAGTTGACCAGAATAAGCGTGTACCCTTCTTACCCGTTAGTGTTTTTATTTGTAAACAAATTATGAGAAATTCAAAGCATCAAATTGGTGAACAGGAATACTTTAATTTGTGGCGTCAATCAAAATGGAAAACCTGCCATGTGAAGTTCGTGCAATTTCATCAAATAGTGACAAACTTTTAAATATCTTAAACTCTTCCAGATGATTGAGCACATCTATTCATTTCTGCCGTATAGCGACCACTTGCGAGCCACAGAAGTTTGCTTCCGTTGGAAGGAAATATTCGAAAAACGTGTATTGAAAGATACTTTGCTGACGATTGCAAAAAAGCATTGTGTCATCAATAAGCACAGTTTCCACAATGGTTTACAAAGGTTGGCGAAAAGCACAAGAATGTATCAAGATTTGATGTTCGAGGATATAGACTTTGCATACCTAGATAGACAAACTGTAATTCAGCTGTCTATTCTATTAGCAAACATGGGATTATATGTACTGAATTTAACTCTGAAAGATTGCCGTCTAACAGATGGGAAACTATTCTTAATAGTTCATCTAATGAAAGAAATGCAAACCATATGCATTGATAGCTGTGAGATATATAACCACTCGATTTTTGTACCTGAATTAGAGCCTAGAAGTAACAGCATACAATTAGTTAGCATTTGTAACGTTAAAGCTGAAAATGAGGCTTCTATAGTTGATCTGCTGACTAGTGGTAATTCGGCCGAAATTCATGTGACAGTGGATAAGGCTTATATTGATCCAAGAACAGATGTAATCGAGAGGTACGCAGGAAATATAAAAGTGTTGTCCTGTTTGTTCAGCGAAACTCGCACAATTCGAACCATATTTGGGTGTCCTGCATTAAATCTCGAATCTTTGAAGTTGCATCGGAATCCATCGAATGAGCTACACTATGTCACGCTTCTGGAAACAATATCGACACAAAGAAATCTGCGGAAACTATCCATTAACATGCCCATCTCACTACGTGTACTTGCTCAAATAGCCCAGACCATGTTTTTACTTGAATTTTTGGAAGTCACTATCAATGACGATGTTGAGTTAAGAACTACAAAATGGCCAAAACTCAAGGTAAGATAAGATTTTTTTTATTCTTGGTAGGTAATATCCCTTGAATCCTTGATTATGCCTAGACGTTAACTCTGCTTATTGTCGACACCAGATACTCACCACATATTTCCGTTTAGACTGAAATTGATTTTCCGTACTATCTTTTTTGTATGGATTGTATTCTCCCAATCAAACTTCATCATGTTCGCAACGTTGAGCCTCACTCCGTGTTTTCACTTAAGATACACCCGAGTGCGCTCCCGATTTCACCTTCAGAAAAAACAGGGAGTGTCTCTACGCTGCGGAAATTGTGCGCGTACTCACATTGCTCAGATTTTTTTTTTCGGATTTTATGTAATATTTGGAAAAGAACTCTAATAACCGTTTAGGGTGTTTGATGTTATAAACTACGCCACGTGCGGTACGTTAGAAGCGTTAGGTTCCTGTAGTTGTGTACGGAGTCTCCATACACAACTATACTGCCGGTGGACACATAATATTGTCCCATGTTCTATGGAGTTTCATACACATGAGACGATTCTATAACATTCCCCAGAATGCACAATTCCCCAGAAAACCATTTCCCAGAATATACCATTCCCCAAAAAGTATGCCATGTATTAGATTGACTATTTTTGTTTATTGTAGTCACTCTTGGAATCTTCTTTCGCATATATAAAAAGAATAGAAAAACTACTTAAGGATCGTCCATTAATTATGTCACACTTTTAGGGGGGAGGGGGGTTTTGGAAACTGTGACGAGCCTTACAAAAAACAATTAAGGTCCATATAAAAAATGTGACAAAAGGGGGAGGGGGGGTTGAAAATGGGCCAAATTTGCGTGACATAATTAATGGACCTTCCCTTAATGGATCAAGGGGTTTTCCTTTGTTTGAAAATATAAGAAAAGGAAATAATTAATTCTTTGGATATACGATAAAGAAGGGAATATTCCTTTCTTTTAATATATAAGGAAAATATATAATCAATAGTTTTTCGCAAAGGATACGGGGTAATGCCCATTCGGAATAATAACGTGTGGAATAATGTATAAATTTGTAATCGGTAGTTCAACGTTCCATGCACCGATTTTTTAATCCATCACGAGAAATTCTTCAACTCAGTTCGAACAATTCTCGCGTCACTTTTCAAATAGACCAATGTAACATATCCACCATTTTGAGAAAATCGAAGCTGAAGTTCGACAGATTATTATTTAAACTGTTTAGAAACAATATATTTTGCAATACTATTTTTAATGGAGTCAGTGAATAATAACGTTGAAAATTCAGTAGAAACAATAAAATCACAATTTAACTTTGAATTTCATGCTACAACATTAAAAAAAAAACACATAGGACGTTTTGACAAGTCGCGTTGTACATCGGACATGTTATTGCGCATTTTGCACCAAACTAGACTCCTGTGCAAAAAATAATTGCTCAGTAATATTTTCGCACATGCCAGAAAATTAAAAAATCGGCTTATTTGAAAGCAGTAACAGCTTAAGAACATTGCTAGCAAGCTACGCTGTTGAATTAAAGCTCTAGAAAGCATTAAGAAGCTCCATATTTAACTTTTATGACCAGTACGAAAATAATACTGTGTACTTATTTTTAGCGCAGGAGTCTAATCAGGTGCGAAATCCGCAATACATTGGACGATTTTTCTCACTGACATAATCAATGAGTGTTACATTGGACGTTTTGATCTACATGATACTAGATTCCCTTTCACAGATTTCAATATTAGAATACCTAACTTTAGATTGGCCCCGCCTTTAGAAAACGAGCACCAATCAATGACCGAAGTAACAATCATGTACCCATCATTTCAAACTTTAAATTGAACAATTTTTGAGCTAAGATTTTCTTAAATAAATGAAAGTCTCTCCCCTTGGCTAGTTTTTGCACCTTGCTGTTGGTGGGCGGGCTTTTTCATGCTTTATAGTGGAGTGCTGGAGACGGTAGGTTTATGGCCGGCGTTGCTGGCGTCATGGGCAGGCCGCGATAGAATGGCGTCATGGGCAGGCAATGGGGATTACTAAGCTTCCCCTCTCTGATAAACCACTGCATGAGAGAACCAAAGATCTAGTCTAGCAGTCATAGTATCACACTTGTTACTCCTTTGATTGAGAGCCGCGTCTTAGTACGCTTACGTATAGGCACTGACGTTAGGTGTGATACTGGCGGGTATTGCCGCAAATCACTCTTATTTTATTTATTTTTACGCATATAGATTTATTTGGGTTTGCAAGGGAATTATACTATTGAAATATTTCAGAAAGTGCCCAACAGTTCTCCTTCTATTTGCGAGACAAGCTTTCATTGTTGTTTTCATTGAAGTATTACTCAGGAAACAATGTTAAACATCATTTTTGTACATGGTATTGTAACTAATCTTATATGTGCTTCATTTTGATTTGGGATAAGTGTTTGAACTATGGCTCGGGATTTCCACTGTGGCGTGCTTCTATTGTGACATACCCATACGTATTTTTGTGGTGCGATATAATGGAAGCGTGTGAGCATAGTTGGAGCATATACCCTATATAATTTAAAAATCAGCTTGGAAACTAACTTCAAAATGAATCATTTTAGTTACCTGAGTGGAACTAAGATATAATAAATAGTTATAGGTAAAAATCAAAAGTACTTGAAACACGTTTAACTTTAGATTACAAACACAAGTGCAGGTACTTAATAAAGCGTGGGTTATGATTGATTAGGTGAATTAGAGATTTCAATTATTTATTAAATTAGACTAATGAGATATCATAATCATCAAATGAACTTAAATAAGAAACTTCAGAAAGTCTAATGACATTAGGTAGATTAACAAAAGAATTAGGATGCGGGGGGTCCGCTTAGGGAGGCAACTAACCTTTAAAGTTGTAGAATAAATCTTCTTATTTAGTCTTGAACTTTAATAAGAAAACGCAAGCAGACCAATAGCATTAAGCAGATTAACAAGGAGAGGAATAGTTTAGGAAATAAGTAAAAGTAGAGGTATGTGACAATTAATAACTTTTAAACTTTTGGAGGTATTGTATTCCCCTGAGTTTGTTGTGCTCGATTGCTATATTATTCTCTCAATACGCGAAATCTCTTATATAACCCTCCCCATGGACATGGAGGTTGACGGTACTGAAGCAAAGGGTTATGTTTAATTTCTTTATATTTGCAACGATGATGATTTCCTATAGTGACACATATCACCTTCTTAATGCTTCAGTATGCCTCTAACGATTAATTCTTGGTTGTTAATAGAACTTCCTTGATGAAATCGGCTGCTTCATGCAGACTGAGCCGATTCAAAAAAGCATGCTATATTTTTCTGTTTCACTTGTATGGGAATCTCGAACCATATATGGAAATGGATGTAATGTCGGCCTAAATTCCCCTAATTTGGGCCCATACATAAATTCAGCAATAAACTGAATTTTCAATAGCGACCAAAAATATCCATTAGTACCGTCCCAAAGACGCGTTCATCTAGATAAAATTGATAAATAGCAGACTTTTCGCGATGGAGAGAAAAAATATATATATATATATATTTATATATTATACGTATAAGACTGCGTATATCTAGAATAAATTATTCAGAGCATACTTACTTTAAACCTACTTTCTCTCTTTCACAGGTACTATCTTTATCTCATTCCAGCAATATGAATAGTATACTTAATGGCATGGATTTTGAAAACCTTGAGGAACTTCGATTACATACGAAAAAACTGACTAGAAACACAATGGAGACCATCTACGAAAAATGTGCTGGACTAAAGAAGCTGACTCTTACCGCGCTATCAATGGTGCGATGTGAAAGTATTCTCGCATCAATCGGAGATCGATTGGCTGATTTGGTTGAAATTGACCTACAGTGTAGCTCACGAACAACATTCATCCCTTTTTTCAAGTCCATCGTAACACTAAAGCAGCTCGACTCATTATCCATCTGTTGTTGTGATTTTATAACGAATAAGACACTAATACAGATACATTTGCCTTACCTCAGCACATTGAAAATTACACGAAATTTTAAGGTAGGTTTTCATCTCTGGGTTTTTTTAACGTAAGTCTACCGTATCGACACGATACTTAATGATTGCGTACTGATATATTTTCGGTCGAATCGAGATTTTAACTACGTATTTTTTAAATCGTTCGTTATGTAGTTGTAAGCGTTAGGAATCGCGTGAAGAATGGTGTATGCATCGTACGCTTTATGAGAACATACTGTGAAATCCAAAAATTGAATAATGATTAGGGTTGTTTTCCGGTAAATTCGCTACTGTTGCTTAAACTTCCAAGTGTGGTTAAAAGTGAGTAGAAATGATAGATAAAGTAAGCTATATCAGTCAATTGGATCAGTTTCGCTTCGAATTCGGAAATTTCGGTAATATCTCCCGTAGGCCATTCTTAAGCAGGTGGGAGAGTTGAATCTCATGCTGTAGGCCTGGACCGTGTGATGGTATCACATATGCTTTTCATTAATTTCATTCTTCTCTTCCACGTCGTAGTACGTTTATATAAATGTACTGACTATTTTTAATTATAGGCGCATCTCCGGGTATTTTCTTAACGAGTATCATTCCATTTTCGTATCGTATCGCAGGATGGCCGTTCAGAATGGTTCAATGGATGTGAAACGAGGGAACAAGCGCCACATTTCGTTCAGGCTCTTTAGAACTACTTGTGAGTTGTGATGAAATATAAAACGCACATTTTAAAATGAATTGCACATAGCAATTATCATCACTTACTCACACATGAAATCTGGCTCGACCAACCTGGCAGAACGCGTCCTAACCCTCACTGAACCAAAGGGCAGGGGGTTGTATGGCATACTATTCATTGACCATTATCCAACTGTTGTGCCTACTAGCTAAAATGTTGTAAACATTAATTTCCTTTATTTTTTTTTTTTTATTAATTACTTTATTTGTACAGGCTCAATCGAATAAACTTTACAGAGCCAAGTTATCATTTTCATCCTTTGGTTTGTTTTTTCCGTCGATCTTGTTTTCCGTGCTGAGCACCAATGCTACCGACGTGCCAGGAAGGCAGCTCTCACACCTGGACCCTACCTATCGACCCATCAACTCATGAACCGGGGACCAACGGCTTTACTTCCCATCCGAAGGAAGGCGTGATCAGAGATGTTATGCCTCAGAACATCCCGGCGGCGCCGACTGGTATTGAACCCAGGCCTGCTGGTGTGAGAGGTAATCACGCTTACCACTACACCACCGGCGCCGTTTAGTTATCATTTTCGTTATAAATTATTGATGTCTTATATTATATATTAGTTAAAGGAGCTGGACCGGATACTCGTGGTTGTCTCGAGGTTAGTGGAGATTTACAATGTTTTTGGATGGGAAAAGGGAGAGGGAGGTTTGAAATGTGGTTTACGATACAAATATTTAATTAATCCTAAAACATGAACTAATTTCTATTCATCTTGAAAACAAACATAAACAAAACCCACACGTACAAAATACAAACTAAACACAAGGTTAATCAAACTTACAATCTAATGTTAATATTCTTAAAGTAAACATATATGAGTTTCATAAACTCCAGATCGCGTCTAGCCAAAATATCCCGAACTGGAACGTTAGGTTGTCTACCTCGAGCCCGAAGGGAATCGTACAGCTCCGATCTGACTCCACGATGCTCAGCACAAGACCAAATAATATGATCGGCGTCTTGGTAACCTTGTCCACATTCAAAGAGATTGCTGTCCCCCAGCACAACACGGAACAAGTGAGCGTTTAACGAATAGTGATTGGACATGAGGCGAGACATCATACGAATGAAGTCTCGACCCACATCCAACCCCTTGAACCAAGGACTCTTCGACACCTTAGGGATGATCGAATATAGCCATCGTCCCAAACTCCCTTCACTCCACTTATTCTGCCAGCTGACGAGTGACTGTTGACGATAAATGAAGAAAAATTCATCGTAGGCGATTTGTCGATCGTAAATATCGCCTTCCATAGCGCCCACCTTAGCAAGTGAGTCCGCCATCTCATTGCCCGGAATCGAGCAATGAGATGGGACCTATGCAAAGGTGATGACAAAAGATCTTAAAGATAAAGCACTTAAAAGCTCTTGTATTTTCATGAGAAAATACGAGGAGTGCTTTACCGGCCTCATGGAGCGAATAGCCTCGACAGAACTGACACTATCCGTAAAAATAAAATAGTGATCTGGTGGAAGTGAGGCGATCGTTTCTAGCGTATAGTATATTGCCGCCAGCTCAGCAACATATACGGAACAAGGAGCTTGAAGCATTCGAGAGGCGCTATGAAATTCGTTAAAAATACCAAAACCAGCGGACGACTCTATTAGTGATCCATCTGTGAAGAACGATCTTGCGGAATCAACTTGGCCAAACTTTGCAGCGTAAATTGACGGAACAATCATGGAACGATGATGTTCTGGGATCCCACGAATCTCCCGCGTCATAGATAAATCAAAACTAACTGAATTGCCGAAGTCGGAGAAGCATACACGATGAGGATTATGCTGTGAAGGGCTGACATCCAGTGTTATGTACACGTAGTACAATGTCATAAAACGAGTTTGAGGGTTTAGCTCAAGAAGCTTCTCAAAGTTTGCAATCACCAGTGGGTTCATAATTTCACAACGGGTGAGGAGCCTGAGGGATAATTCTGAAAACCGATCAGATAGTGGCAACATGCCCGCTAACACTTCGAGACTCATCGTATGAGTCGAGTGCATACTGGATCCGTTCCAGTTTGATGATGTGCGTTTTAGCCACCGACTGGAAGCAAAAACTACCGTACTCTAAAACCGATAAAATCGTTGTCCGGTACAACGTTAGAAGATCTTGCGGATGGGCTCCCCACCACGTTCCGGTAATTGTTCGAAGAAAATTGATCCTTTGTTGGCATTTTCGTCTCAGATACTCAATGTGGGATCTCCAGGTGCATTTGGAATCGAACCAGACCCTAAGATATTTGAAAGACATGGAATGAGTGATCGGCCTACCCAAAAGTTGAAGCTTCGGTTGTGCATAGCCCATGCTTCCTAGAAAAAAACGACCAACTCAGTTTTCTCCGTGGAGAATTCGATACCTAGCTGAATAGCCCAAGTAGACAAATTGTCTAAAGTATCCTGTAAGGGTCCTTGCAGGTCGGCCTCTCTGGGCCCTGTCATAGACACTACTCCGTCATCTGCAAGTTGTCTCAACGTGCAGTTGTCACTTAGACAATTGTCAATTTCTCTGACGTAGAAATTATACAAAAGGGGGCTTAAACATGAGCCCTGGGGGAGACCCATGTAACTAAATCGAGGAGCTGTAGAGTTTCCATGAGAAAAGCTCATATGTTTCTCTGACAGCAAATTGTACAAAGAGTTATTTATTACTGGAGAAAGGCCACAAGCGTGGAGTTTGTCTGAAAGGATACTGATACTTCAACCGATACTGAATCAAAAGCCCCCTTGATATCCAAGAATACAGAAGCCATTTGCTCTTTTTTTTAGCAAAAGCCAACTGAATTTCTGTGGAAAGCAACGCGAGAAAGTCGTTCGTTCCCTTGCCCCTACGGAATCCAAATTGAGTATCTGAGAGTAGCTGGTTCATCTCAACCCATTTGTCCAAGCGAAAAACGATCATTTTCTCCAACAATTTTCGAATGCACGATAACATCGCGATGGGACGATACGAGTTATGATCTGAAGCCGGTTTTCCAGGCTTTTTAATGGCTATAACTCTTACTTGCCTCCAATCATCCGGAACAATATTGAGCTCTAGGAACTGACAAAACAAGTTCAACATGCGCCTCTTAGCGACGTCTGGGAGGTTCTTCAACAAGTTGAACTTGATTTTATCAGCCCCCGGAGCCGAATTGCCACACGAAAGGAGCGCGAGTGAGAGCTCCAGCATTGAAAAAGACTGGCTGATCTCGTCTACCGAATTCGTCGTTTCGCGAGGAATCATCCGTGCCGGCACGGAATCAGGACATACTTTTCGTGCGAACTTAAGAATCCAACGATCTGAGTACTCCTCGCTCTCGTTGTTCGAAGACCGGTTACGCATCCTTCGCGCCGCGTTCCAAAACGTTTCGCGCGATAATCCGTCCACAAATTGCCGCCAATATCCGCGTTTCTTGGCTTTGATGAGGCTCTTGAGTTCGCGTTCAAGAGCCGAGAACGCTTCGAAATACACGGGTGTTCCGCGTTTCCGGAAAAGCTTAAACGCGTCGGACTTTTTACGATAAACCTCTGTGCATTGGTGGTCCCACCAAGGGGAATGAGGTTTCCTACGCAAAGACGTTCCAGGAACCGGCCGAGTTTGAGCTCGAAGCGCGCTGTCCAAGATCAGATTGGAGAGGAAGTTATATTCCTCCAACGGTGGAAGCCCTTCTACCGACGACACGGCTTCCTCTATCGCAGTCTTGAACGTTGTCCAATCGATATTACGGGTGAGGTCGTACGCGACGTTAACGGACTCCCGACGGATTGAAACCACTGGCAATCGAAATTTTGATCGGAAAGTGATCACTACCGTGGGGATCCTTGATCACATTCCACGTGCAATCCAACGATAATGAGTTAGAGCAAAGTGTGAGGTCTAATTTACTTCCATTCGAGGATGGTCCAGCCAAACGTGTTACTTCTCCATTGTTAAGTATTGTCATATTGAAGTTATCACAGAGGTCATATATAAAAGTAGAACGGATGTCATCATACAGTTCCCCCCAGCCTGTACCGTGGGAATTGAAATCTCCCATGATCAACCGTGGAGCAGGAAGTACCGAACATATATCTGAAAGTTGTTTTCGATTAACAACGGCTCTAGGAGAAATATAAACAGAAGCAATACAAAGGCTCTTACCTTTAAAAATAGCCTGACATGCGATAACTTCAATACCTGGAAATTGTGGAAGATTCACTCTATAGAAGGAATGGCACTTTTTGATCCCCAAAAATACCCCTCCTCCACGCGAATCCTCACGATCCAGTCGAATAATGTTAAAATCATAAAAAGGAAGATCAATATCTAAAGAGA